CCCCCCCCCCCCCCCCCCCCCCAATCATCCACAGAGGAAATGGGTGCTTCTGTGGAGAGATGAGAAAGAGGCTCCACAAAGTTTTCAAACCAGTGCCCCCGGTTCACTCCAGGGGCGATTCTAGGATCTGACCTTTAGGGGGACTTAGCCCCCAGTGCTGACAAAAGCTATTGTCTTGAGCAATGTGGTGGCCATGTAAGTTCAACAATAAAGTTATTTAATCGGATCGGACGAGTCTCTTTACACACATACAAACATTTTGTACTGAACGACTACAAAGTAATCGTCAAATAAAAAAAGAAAACACACTGTACTGTTTCATAAATGTCAAATAATTCCAAATTAAAAGATGTCGCGCCACTCTTTATGTGGAATTGCCTATTGCAAAATATTATTGAAAACTGCCATTTGAGCAAAGTTGCCGATAATGAGCCTCCCCCATAAATGTGTTTAAAATATATATAATGGTCTTGACTACTGTTTTTCTAACATGGTTCATCATCTTCTCTCTTGGACTCCCTCTATCCTCCTCGTGCTGTCAACCAAGAGGCACAGGCCAGGTTACACTCATCAACATGTTTACTTTCAAAATGTTGGGTTACTAGGCTGCTCGGTGTGTTTTATATTCCTGTACCTGAACGTGGCTGTGGGCCTAAAGAACAAACAGTATATCCATCACGGGTCAGGGTTCTGCTGTTCCACTGTTTCACTTCCCCATCCATGATGTGGGCCTATCATAGTTACAGTATGAATCACAGGCAAAGAAACAAAGCCTAATATGGGCTTACCTTAAAAAATAAGTATGCAGGCCTACATATAGAGCTTTAGAGCAGGACGTCACTTGTCTGCGGCGCGGCGGCTGATGGGATAGGATGGGCCGGATCCACCATGTTTACTGTCCTCAACATTAACTGTCGAAACAAGCTTTCTCACTGACTTTAAAAAAATCTAAGTAGGTTAAAACAGTTTAGCGATGGTCCGACAAGCATTTCAGGTTTTCATGAGCTGTATGTCATAATCATCAGTATTAAAACAATTAAAGACCTGAAATATTTCAGTTGGTGTGCAATGAATCTGAAATATATGAAAGTTTCATTTTTATCATTACATTATGGAAAATAATGACCTTTATCACAATATGCTAATTTTTTTAGAAGGACCTGTAACTTAGTCTGAGTTTAGACAGAGTGGACATCTGTGTTGTGAAATAAACAGTTTACAGTTTCTAGTGTTGTCACTTTTACTGTAGTAATACTGATGTGTGTTGTGATGTGTCCTCTTCAAGACAAACCTTCAGATGAAACTCCAGGAGAGCAGCTCAGTGAGGCTGCAGATGATGGAGAGGAGGAACATGAACCAGCAGCAAAAAGGTACAAATACAATGTGTGAACAAAGAAGAGCAGAAATAAACCGTCTGTTACAGGAGAACAGGGAGCTCAGGTCAGAGCTGAATAAAAAACAGCTGGACAAATAATTTTTATAGTATTAAATATTATACAGGACTTCATTGCTTTGCCATCTTGTTGTCATTGTTTAACACTGTTAGGCATTTTCTGCCAGCATTAAAAAAACCTCACAATTTCAAATGGTTCCACTAACACTAATGCATCCTGTTCAGCATCTTTTCAAGGTGTCACATCAAACTCTGTCTAATACCTGTGTCTTTCTTTTCTTTCCAAGGGAGGGACGTCCATCAGACAAGCTCATAACAGAAGCTGTGGCCTTCTCTCCAGATTATTACCCGGGGTCGTTGTTATGACAGAGGCTTTGATGTTAAAGACAGTGTGGGAGTCAAGGTCAAGGGTCTTTATTGTCATTCACATCAGATGTTGTACATGAGGTGGAACTAAACTGTGCACACAGGGTCCCAGTTACATCCAACAAAAGTATAAATGACGTGCTGAGGTTCAAATCCCATCAGTCACTAAATGGAGATGTGAACATGATGCTAAGGATGTTGAACACACACGAGCACACCTTAGAGTTCATGTGGAAACAGTGACTGGTTGCATGAGAAACACAATGTTACACAGAAATATACCAGTTAACTATACTGGTGCTTACATGTGAATATACCAGTT